CTTTATATGATAAGAAAAAAGTAATATTATTTTTGAAATCTGCGTAGCTGAGTTATGGAAAATTTATTATTAAAACCAAAACAACTTTTATGAAGTTTAAATTTGCAGACCTGTGTAATTGAAGTAAGTCAACTTTATAAAGGTTTAAAACAGGACCCAGTTACCAGTGCTTAAGCAACATAAAATTTCATTTATTTTACATACTTCCTTTTTCTTACAAATGTTGATAAACTTTCAAGTGCTAGTTAAATATAGTGAGGAATAAAATAGTACAAAAACAAAGTAAGATTTGATGTAGTTCATTAGTGTTCAGTGTACCTACATAAGTGGAAAAAGAATTATTCCAAAATAAATACTCACCCCTGTATACAGATAGCTATTTTCTTCTTGAAATCATACATATATGCCCAAAAGACTTGCATGTCACCAGCCTTGTGAAAACTCCCACTTAAGTTCATGTATGTTCACATGAATTTGCACTACTACATGAAGACTTATCATTCAACAAAACCCTCCACCAATAGGGGTGTGACACACCTTGTGCGAATCCTCCCTTTAAATTTGCACATGAAAATTTTCATTCTTTTCCTCTACACAGTCATGCAAAGATATGTTCATGTTTACTGTGACTTGTCAAAAAACTGTTCTCAATTTACTTTGATTGTGTTTAAACATAATTATTATGAATTCACAATTCAATGAGAATTCTTCAACTGATGCGAGTGAAAATATCACTCACACTGATGAACTTGCCAGTACTTCTGGAGGTCCTTATCTGTGAAAGATGTGACAGCCATTGTCCATTTTGTGGTGGGGTCCAGCATGCTACTGGGATCCTCTACTTCTGTCCCTACCACAAATTCCTTCTTTTGCCTTTGATACTGATGTTGAGGAGGAGAATTTTAAATGGTTTTTCCACATCGAGGCTTTGCTCTGGGTATAAATACTGTGAGTAAGGACTTGAATGACTCATTTGTTGGCTGTAAAATGTGTCCATAAATGTACAAACTGGGACAACTGGGCTCATAGAGGTTCTTAACTGACTAGATGGAGGTCACTGGCAATTAGATTGGCAGATAAAAGAGTAAAATGAGGAGGTGGAAGGTCAGGATATTGGGACAGAACAGAGAGAAGAAGGAGTGTTTGGGCAAAGGACAGGTGTGGAAAAATGAGATTGGTAAAAGCACAAAACTAAGGAGGAAAAAGAAGATTGAGGGTGGGTAGCTTCTGCCCATGATTCATGAAAATAAAGGACTCATCAAAGGCTTCTTATTGGAGAAAGGAGGTAAAATGAGGGTCTTGGAGGAAGATAATCAGACATAGAAAAGAAGAGCTCTCAAAAACAAAGGAACCAAGTAAGTAGGAAAAGGGCAGAGGAATGGAATGGGTAATGAAAGAGAATAAGAGTGCTTTGGTGTCCCCAGAACATTTTTAAGAGGAACTTATAATAAGGTAAAGAGAGAAGAGGTATCAAAGAATGGTAGTAGATAAGGCACAAAATCAGGAAATTTGGGCACTAAATAGGGAGACAGCCAACAAGGTATCAAGGGAAAGAACGACAGGGTGATTATATGCAAGGAGATAGGAATCAGGTAAGCATGCAGAACAAGGCATGAAGTTACCTGAATGACACTGATCAAGAAAGAAGTTGGCATGAACAGAAATACCAGGGAAGGGGAAAACAAAGAAATCATGAGGGGAAGATGGAACAGGAAGCATCACAGGTTATGGGGGCAAAGAAAAATAGTACCACCTAGGTAACGAGGTTCTAAAAACCCAAAGAAGATTGAAGTTGTTCTCTGAAGGCATGGAACCCTTCACTTCTCTTACCCACCTCCTTTCCCAATCTGTTACCTTTCATCACCACCTACTTTCATCATCTGGAAGGGGCAGTTTCAGAACTTTTGGAGAAACAAGCCATAGATATAGTTCACAACCCTTCATCAGGTTACTACTCTTGTGCTCCCCCAGTGACACAACAGTATGTATGCAGACTTACAATGCTAAAAACTGGGTTTCGATACACGTGGTGGGCAGAGCACAGATAGCCCATTGTATAGCTTTGTGCTTAACTACAAACAAACAAGCAAACAAATACTACTCTTACTTCTTCATTGTCCACTAAAAGACCAGGGACTGGTGCTCAATCATTAACCTTCCTCCATCAATCATTTTTTTTATTGTCCCTCATTTTCAGATGGAAAATTAGCTCTCTTTGCTAGTTTTTCAAACCAGCCTATCGATGACCAAAGTAGATGTGTCTGATTACTTCTTTCATGCTCCAATAGCCCAAGCCTCATGTTGTTTCCTCAGATTCATCCACAGGAACCATTTCTTCCAATTTCGTGCCCTTCCATTCAAAATAGCATCATTCCCTTATGTATTCAATTGCATTGTGAGGACCATTGCTCATCATCTGCATGGGCTGGGACTACAGTCAATTTCTACATAGGTGATTGGCTTCTCCTCACCTTCTCCCAGGAGAAATCCTCAGATCATACTTTCCTCATGTTGCTTGATTAAAGTGACTCCTCAAAATAATCAAATCCTTCCTTACCCTGACCCAATATCTCATCCACCGGGATATCCTTTTAAACTCTCAACTTAGCTGTGCCTAATTTTCACCTCTGTTTACAAGACCTGAAGCACTTAATCACTAAAGTCTGCACTTCTCCTCTCGTGCAGGAGGTTCTTATCTCTTTTTGGGGACTGTGGCTTCTCTGGAACACCTTATTCTGCTTGACTGTGTACATATGCATCTACTACAGAGGGCATTGCACAACCAGAGGAACCTGTCCAGGGATCCACCGTTCTCACAGATCCTCCTTCCTATACTTCTACTGGAGGAACTTGCTTGATGGCCAGATCACTCCAACACCACCTCTGGCATATCTTTGCCTTCTCTCAAGCCAGACATTAGCCTATTTACAGATTGTTCTCATCAGGTGGGGAGTATCTATGAATTACTCTCTTACTTCAGGTTCATGGACCTTGAATGAGAATTATCTTTATATTAACATTCTAGAACTGTTTGCTATCTGATAGGCATGCTCTTATTTCATTCCCCTTCTGATGGTTCTTTTGGTTATGATTCACCTGAGCAATTCCACAGTCGTATCACATATCAACTGACATGGGGAACCAATTTCCGGTCCCTCTGCTTCCAAACTTTGGACATCATTTATAGGGCTTGTTCCAATTGGGCGAGCTTAACCTGAAAATGATGACATGCCTGATAGTGAAGCACTCTATGGAACTCTCATTATATTTTCTTCCAAAAATAAAACTAGTGGATAAAATTATTTTAAACTTCACAAGAACACAAGTATGTAGTTTAAGTAAAATAAAATATTTAGTTTTTTTTTTTTTCTACTAATCCTAATAAACATTCGTTATTTAATGTAATTATTTGCACTCAGACTGAATATTTCACCTGCAAGGTGATTTTCATTTTGAGTGTAATAATACTATTTATTATCTTACAGTTTTCACATTTCAAATGCATAAACTCTAGAACCTCCTAAATGACTATCAAAAGTTTTTTTAAGGTAAATGTTTATATTTTATTTTCCATTTTCTCTACCATATCACTAACTCTAGCTGTTATCATCAACATACAGTGCAATGAAATACGATAAATTAAGAAATAGAAATATGTACATACCTTTTAACTCCTCATTAAATAACCGTAAAATATCTTCTTTGGGCCGTATGCTTAGGAGATGTTATCACTTTGACTTCATATATTCATGGAGAAATCTTTAAAAGTTATAGTATGGAAACTCTAAAGGTCAGATTGGGGTTATGAACTCAGTTGATTTGACCTAGTAAGAGAGTCAAAGGAAACTTTATA